ACCTCATCCACCTCATCCACCTCACCTACCTCACCCACCTCGCCAACCTCACCTACCTCACCCACCTAGCCAACCTCACCTACCTCATCCACCTCCCCCACCTCGCCCACCTCACCTACCTCACCCACCTCACCCACCTCATCCACCTCACCCACCTCACCCACCTCACCCACCTCACCCACCTCATCACCTCATCCACCTCACCCACCTCACCCACCCTCACCCACCTCGCCAACCTCACCTACCTTACCCACCTCGCCAACCTCACCTACCTTACTCACCTCGCCAACCTCACCTACCTTACCCACCTAGCCATCCTTACCAACCTCACCCACCTCGCCAACCTCACCTACCTCACCCACCTAGCCAACCTCACCCACCTAGCCAACCTCGCCAACCTCACCCCACCTCGCCAACCTCACCCACCTCGCCAACCTCACCTACCTCATCCACCTAGCCAACCTCACCTACCTCACCCACCTAGCCAACCTCACCCACCTAGCCAACCTCACCTACCTCACCCACCTCACCCAACCTCACCAACCTCACCCACCTTGCCAACCTCATCCACCTTGCCAACCTCATCCACCTTGCCAACCTCATCCACCTTGCCAACCTCATCCACCTTGCCAACCTCATCCACCTCGCCCCACCTCACCCACCTCGCTCATCTAACCTACCTCGCCAACCTCATCCACCTCGCCAACCTCACCAAACTCTCCAACCTCATCCACCTCACCAACCTCATCCACTTCGCCCACCATGCCAACCTCATCCACCTTGCCAACCTCATCCACCTTGCCAACCTCATCCACCTTGCCCACCTTGCCAACCTCATCCACCTCGCCCACCTTGCCAACCTCGCCCACCTCACCTACCTCTGACCTCTCCATAATAAGTCCAATAGATAGATGTCCAGTCACTACATTCTCATCTCATCCTTCACATGTTCATGTCAAGTCTTTATAATAATGTAGCTTTCGTTATATTAATCTCTGGTGGTCCCACCATTAACGTCCTTGTTCAGGCACTTCCTGTTATAGGGTGACAACACTCTGTCCCTGTCTCCCAATTGCTCTCCTGTGTTGTCACCTTGTCACATGGGCTGCCAATGCAGACAAGTGGCACCCCCCCCCCCCCTTTTACAGCCTCGTGTCACATTGGATGTCTAATGAGTAATCTTTCTGAACGTTCATGGAGTAATATTGGCTCGGAGGTGCGGCGTCCATCCCATCCCCCTTCTGACAGGCTGCGAGACGCTGTACCAAGTGTCGTGTGGTGTCCCTGTCTGGATAATTTATAAGTCGTTATCTGATCAGTTCAGGTTTTAGTGGTCATCTTGTCATGATTAATAACCATCAATAATTCACACTCAGACATTTATTGTTCTGGTTCTCAGATATCACAGGAGTGGTGATTGAATTTACCGTTCACACCAACCTTGTCTTCTGCTTTCACCGTCCTCTGACGCACATCAACCGCTTGTCCGCTCTGCTCTCCTACGCAGGTGTAGGACCTAATTGGGGTATAATTGGATGAGCCGCGTCCAGAGAGGAGTTCACATGTGTGGATGGTAATTGGAATGAGATTTGCCCCTCGGGGGACATCAGGAGGAGATGGACGACTCTGCTCAGGTTGGGATCAGATTATTGGAATGAGATTTGCCCCTCGGGGGACGGCGGGAGGAGATGGACAGCTCTGCTCAGGTTGGATCAGATTATTGGAACGAGATTTGCCCCTCGGGGGACGGCGGGAGGAGATGGACGACTCTGCTCAGGTTGGGATCAGATTATTGGAATGAGATTTGCCCCTCGGGGGACGGCGGGAGGAGATGGACAGCTCTGCTCAGGTTGGATCAGATTATTGGAATGAGATTTGCCCCTCGGGGGACGGCGGGAGGAGATGGACAGCTCTGCCAGGTTGGATCAGATTATTGGGAGATTTGCCCCTCGGGGGACGGCGGGAGGAGATGGACGACTCTACTTAGGTTGGGATCAGATTATTGGAATGAGATTTGCCCCTCGGGGGACGGCGGGAGGGAGATGGACGGCTCTGCTCAGGTTGGGATCAGATTATTGGAACGAGATTTGCCCCTCGGGGGACGGCGGGAGGAGACAGATGGCTCTGCTCAGGTTGGGATTAGATTTGTATAATGGCTCTGCTCATGATTGATTTGTCTAAAACACTGAAATGATCAGAACCACAACGTCTTTGCAGAGAATCAAAGTATTAATGCCGTTTTTATTACTATTATACAGGATTTATGTAGCTCCAACAGCACTATGTAATATAAAGGGTGACAGTCCAATTACAATACAGTTCAATACAGAGGGAATAGGAGGGACCTGTACATGGAGCTCACAATCTAAAGGGAGGGGGGCGGTGGTACAAATCTGAAGGAGGTGACTGAAGTACAGATTTTTGGGTGGAGGTGGGGTAGGCTTCTGGTTTTCTAGAATCACCTAAAGGCGGGCAGGGTAGGAGCTGACTGAACATACTGGGGGAGAGAGTTGCAGAGGATGGGAGAGGTTCTGGAAAAGTCCTGGAGGTGAGCATGGTAGGAGGTATCAAGGGAACTGGAGAGCAAGAGATCTTGGGAGGAGCGGAGAGGACAATTTGGGCGATAGCTGAAGATGAAATTGGTGATGTAGCCGGGGCCGATGTGGATGGCTTTGTACATTGTGGTTAGTATGTTGAATTTTATACGTTGGGCTAGTGGAAGTCAATGAAGGGATTGGCAGGGAGGGGCAGCAGTCACAGATCATGATAGTTTCTGGAATCGGGTCCACCATGGCGACCTCTATGTTTGCTCAGCACTGGTTTCCTCTGCAGGCCAACATAAAAAGTGGAAACGATTTCTCATTGATTAAGTGGGATCAGTAGTCCTCACGATACATTTCATCAGGAGGAACTGGACATCGGCTAACAAAATAAAGCTATTGGCCAGCCAGGTAAAACTCCTCTCTCTCCCAGCATGCCTCAGTGGATTATGAATTTAGTTCTTTTAGCTCCTCAAAGACCACCTTTTGATATTTCCCTTTCCACCCTGACTGATAAGGGTGTGTTCTTTGGTGCCATCACCTCTGAGAGTGCAGTGTCTGAGTGGGTGGCCGGATCCCTTAAAGGATCCTTTTTTTCTTTTTTTGCTTTCTCTTACACAGAGCCAAGATAGGGAGTCCCACACTTTCTTCCTACCTAAGGTAGTTTCAGCCTTTCATCTCAACCAGGACATTCCTCTCCTCTTACTCTGTCCAGCTTCAGTACATCAGAAGGACATTTCCCTTCATTACCTGGATGTGGTTCACGCTCTATGGGTTTATCTCTCAGCCACTCTTACAATTTGAAAGACTTACTCTGCCATTTCAATCCCTGATGGTCCTTCCCGTAAAGGTGAACCTGTTCCACCACTTCTCGGTGATTCAGACAGCATGTAACTTTATGGTCTTGAGGACCAAGTTACACCCTCCCCTGTCATGATGCACTCTATTCAATCTGTTGCTGCCTCTTGGATAACATCCAGCTACTGTTTTGCAGATTTGTGCATCCTTTTAAGTTCTACTGGAAGATGTTGAGGCCTCATCTGATGCCAGCTTCAGGTGTAAAGTCCTAAAGGCAGCGCCTTCCTAGATTGCTAAGCCTTCCACCTGGTCCTCTGGTCACACATTCTCTAAGTTCTACCAGGTGGCTGTTCAGGATTCACGTGATGCCAACATCAGGTGTAAGATTCTCCTTGTAGCAGCTCTTCAGATTACTAAGCCTTCTACCTGGTCCCGTGTTCACCCATTCTCTAAGTTCTACCAGGTGGAGGTTGAGGCTTCATCTGATGCCAGCTTCTGGTGTAAGGTCCCCATTGTAGCTCCTTCCCAGATTCTAAGGGTTGTCGCCTTGTGCTCTGGTCACCCATTCTCTTAAGTTCTACCAGGTGGAGGTTGAGGCTTCATCTGATGCCAGCTTCTGGTGTAAGGTCCCCCTTGTAGCTCCTTCCCAGATTCTAAGGGTTGTCGCCTTGTGCTCTGGTCACCCATTCTCTTAAGTTCTACCAGGTGGAGGGTTGAGGTCTCATCTGATGCCATCTTCAAGTGTAAGACCCTTCAGGTGGCTCACTGAGCTGCGGGCTGCCCTTAGTTTTTTTTCTTCTCTATGTGGTCCTGTTAGTATTTTGTTAGGGTCCACCCCCCCCCATCCTCAGTCATATCAGAATTGCTGCTGATCTTGTGACCTCTAATGAATGAGAAATCCATAATTTTGTACTTACTATAAAATCCATTTCTTGGGGTTCATTAAGGGACACCCCTCTGTGTTCTTGTTATCCGTTCCTGAATACAGTGTTTCTACAAAACTGAGGCATGCTGGGAGTGGGAGGGTTTATACTTGGCTGGCCAATGGTTTTTTTGTTTGGCAGTGTCCAGTTCTTTCTAAAGGTGGCAGTATAACCCAGCCGTATCAGATGTGGTGATCCTGTGTCCCTCATGAACGCCAAGAATTGGATTTTCTGGTCAGTAGAAGAATTTTGGTTTTATTGGATGAGATGTGGTGTCAAGTTTATGCTGCGCGGTGCCCAGAGCAATCCGAATGTTTACTTCTCCTCTAATGTTACTGAAGAGCTTGGCAGGTGAAGCTGGGATCACTCTTCAGGGTCGCTGCAATTGTTGGCTTCCAGCAAGGCTCCTGTTTGTTTTGGCTGCATTGATTCTTCTCTTCTTACATTTCAGGTGTCTTTGGAAGACGGGAACGCTGCAGTAATTTATGATCCTGCTCTCCAGATGCCAAGCACACTCCAGGAAGCCATTGAGGATATGGGATTTCTGTCTGCTCCTGTTACTTTGCATCCACAAGCTGAACCTACAGACAGTCTCACGTTTCACCTCACACAGGATCAGGCTGCAGAGCGGACCTGCACTGAACTGCTGGCAGTGAAGGGCGTTCTGGGTGTAGAACCCTCAGCCGAGGGGGCGGTGCTAAGTGTGACTTTCATACCTTCACTGGTCAGTACTGACACCATGATTCAGAGGTTCCCAGCGCTCAGCCTGGAAGCCGGGAATCCCAGTAGAGGATCCTCTCCAGACAATCCAGCTGCACAGAATGGAGACGTCCTGGTGAAGATGAAGGTGGAAGGCATGACCTGCCATTCCTGTACCAGTACCATCGAAGGCAAAATCGGGAAGCTTCATGGAGTGCAACGCATCAAAGGTAATCTATATCCAGGCAGCTGCCCCTCCCCCTGCTTATCTTCTGCCCCCCCTGCTTATCTTCTGCCCTCCCCCTGCTTATCTTCTGCCCTCCCCCTGCTTATCTTCTGCCCTCCCCCTGCTTATCTTCTGCCCTCCCCCTGCTTATCTTCTGCCCTCCCCCTGCTTATCTTCTGCCCTCCCCCTGCTTATCTTCTGCCCCCCCCCTGCTTATCTTCTGCCCTCCCCCTGCTTATCTTCTGCCCTCCTCCTGCTTATCATCATCCTCACCCCTCCCCCTGCTTATCTTCTGCCCCTCCCGCCCCTCCCCCTGCTTATCATCATCCTCACCCCTCCCCCTGCTTATCTTCTGCCCTCCCCCTGCTATATCATCATCCCCCTCACCCCTCACCCTGCTTATCATCATCCCTCACCCCTCCCCCTGCTTATCATCATCATCCTCACCCCTCCCCCTGCTTATCATCATCCTCACCCCTCCCCCTGCTTATCATCATCCTCACCCCTCCCCCTGCTTATCATCATCCTCACCCCTCCCCCTGCTTATCTTCTGCCCTCCCCCTGCTTATCATCATCCTCACCCCTCCCCCTGCTTATCATCATCCTCACCCCTCCCCCTGCTTATCATCATCATCCTCACCCCTCCCCCTGCTTATCTTCTGCCCTCCCCCTGCTTATCATCATCCTCACCCCTCCCCCTGCTTATCATCATCCTCCCCCCCTGCTTATCATCATCCTCACCCCTCCCCCTGCTTATCATCATCCTCACCCCTCCCCCTGCTTATCATCATCCTCACCCCCCCCCTGCTTATCATCATCCTCACCCCTCCCCCTGCTTATCATCATCCTCACCCCTCCCCCCCTGCTTATCATCATCCTCACCCCTCCCCCTGCTTATCATCATCCTCACCCCTCCCCCTGCTTATCATCATCCTCACCCCTCCCCCTGCTTATCATCATCCTCACCCCTCCCCCTGCTTATCATCATCCTCATCCCCCTCACCCCTCCCCCTGCTTATCATCATCCTCACCCCTCCCCCTGCTTATCATCATCCTCACCCCTCCCCCTGCTTATCATTCTGCCCTCCCCCTGCTTATCATCCTCACCCCACCCCCTGCTTATCTTCTGCCCACCCCCTGCTTATCTTCTGCCCACCCCCTGCTTATCTTCTGCCCACCCCCTGCTTATCTTCTGCCCACCCCCTGCTTATCTTCTGCCCCCCCCCTGCTTATCTTCTGCCCACCCCCTGCTTATCTTCTGCCCACCCCCTGCTTATCTTCTGCCCACCCCCTGCTTATCTTCTGCCCACCCCCTGCTTATCTTCTGCCCCACCCCCTGCTTATCTTCTGCCCACCCCCTGCTTATCTTCTGCCCACCCCCTGCTTATCTTCTGCCCACCCCCTGCTTATCTTCTGCCCACCCCCTGCTTATCTTCTGCACCCCCCTCACCCTGCTTATCTTCTGCTCACCCCTGCCCTCACCCCCTGCTTATCTTTGCCCACCCCCCCCTCACCCTGCTTATCATCCTCACCCCTCACCCTGCTTATCATCCTCACCCCTCACCCTGCTTATCATCCTCACCCTCACCCTGCTTATCATCCTCACCCCTCACCCTGCTTATCATCCTCACCCCTCACCCTGCTTATCATCCTCACCCCTCACCCTGCTTATCATCCTCACCCCTCACCCTGCTTATCATCCTCACCCCCTCACCCTGCTTATCATCCTCACCCCTCACCCTGCTTATCATCCTCACCCCTCCCCCTGCTTATCATCCTCACCCCTCCCCTGCTTATCTTCTGCCCTCCCCCTGCTTATCATCCTCACCCTGCTTATCTTCTGCCCTCCCCTGCTTATCATGCCTGCCCTCCCCCTGCTTATCTTCTGCCCTCCCCCTGCTTATCATCCTCACCCCTCCCCCTGCTTATCTTCTGCCCCCCCCCTGCTTATCATCCTGCCCTCCCCCTGCTTATCTTCTGCCCTCCCCCTGCTTATCTTCTGCCCTCCCCCCTGCTTATCTTCTGCCCTCCCCTGCTTATCTTCTGCCCTCCCCCCCTGCTTATCTTCTGCCCTCCCCCCTGCTTATCTTCTGCCCTCCCCCTGCTTATCTTCTGCCCTCCCCCTGCTTATCTTCTGCCCTCCCCCTGCTTATCTTCTGCCCTCCCCCTGCTTATCTTCTGCCCTCCCCCTGCTTATCATCCTCACCCCCTCCCCCCCTGCTTATCTTCTGCTTATCTCTCCCTTCTTATCTTCTGCCCTCGGTCCCTCTCCCCCGCTTATCCTCTGCCCCTCTCCCCCCCCTTATCCTCTGCCCCTCTCCTCCCCCCTGCATATCCTCTGCCCCTCTCCCCCCGCTTATCCTCTGCCCTCCCCTCCCCCTGCATATCCCTCTGCCCCTCCTCCTGCTTATTCCTGCTCCTCTTCACCTTTGTACATTGATTCCTCTGCATTAAAACTTTTGCTGCTGCTTTGACTCCTGTGAGTCTGACCACACACTGTAGGGAAGGGGATTGTGGGAGATGTAGTTCTGGGTGCAGTGCTTACATACTGAGCTTTCAGCAGCTGTCCCCACAAGCCGGGTGATAATGGCCCAGGGAGCGATGAGAGCCATTTCTAACTTCGGTAACAAGAAGCAATGAATGCTGGGACATGTTCGGGGGGTGGGAGGGGGAGTTTTGGGGGCACATTTAGATCATAGCAGATAGTTACCTTTGAATTTCTTTGTATAAAATTGACAGATGTGTCTGATCTTCCTGTGTATTCTAGTGTCCCTGGAAGGCCAGGAGGCTCACATCCTCTACGAGCCGCACCTCATCACACCCACAGAGATCAGGAGCCAAATAGAAAAAGCGGGTTTTTCAGCATCAATTAAGAGCAAGCCGCCCTCAAAACTGGGAACGATTGATGTTGGTCGATTGACAAACGGTACTGAGGACGTGTCACTGCCAAGACCAAAGCTACCTACTGACCTAACAAGAGCTGTCTCTTCCAAGTAGATGGCATGCACTGCAAATCATGTGTTCTGAACATTGAAAGTAACATGGCCTCCCATGCCGGGGTGTCCAATGTTGAGGTGTCATTGGAGAGGAAATCCGCAGTCATCAATTATAACCCGAATGTCACCAATTCCGAGGCACTGTGCCGAGATATCCAAGCTTTGTCTCCAGGGACATTTAAGGTGAGCCTTTGTAATGGCCTGGAATGTATCCCGCCACCCAACTCCCAGAGAATATCCGGAGCCACGTCTCTAGAGAAAACTCCTTCCAAAAGGACCAATCAGGAGAGTCCATCCAACATCACCGTCATCAATATTCAAGGCATGACCTGCAATTCTTGTGTCCAGTCTATAGAAGGTTTCATCTCTCAGAAGCCTGGCGTGAGATCCATCCAGGTATCACTGGGAGACGGTACCGGGACGGTGGAGTATGACCCCAGTGTGACCAACCAGGAGACCATCCGAGCTGCTATCCATGACATGGGGTTTGATGCCTCTCTAGCGGTAAGTAACATCACCGTGTATCCAGAAATGTCCATTCCATGAGACAATGACATCCCCTCCTGCTCTTCTCTCCTACATCACACCATCACCGTGTATCCAGAAATGTCCATTCCATGAGACAATGACATCCCCTCCTGCTCTTCTCTCCAACCTCCTACATCACACCATCACCGTGTATCCAGAAAGGTCCATTCCATGAGACAATGACATCCCCTCCTGCAAACCCCACTCCAACCCTCTACATCACACCATCACCGTGTATCCAGAAAGGTCCATTCCATGAGACAATGACATCCCCTCCCAAACCCCACTCCAACCCTCTACATCACACCATCACCGTGTATCCAGAAAGGTCCATTCCATGAGACAATGACATCCCCTCCCAAACCTCAATCCAACCCTCTACATCGCACCATCACCGTGTATCCAGAAATGTCCATTCCATGAGACAATGACATCCCCTCCTGCTCTTCTCTCCAACCTCCTACATCACACCATCACCGTGTATCCAGAAAGGTCCATTCCATGAGACAATGACATCCCCTCCCAAACCCCACTCCAACCCTCTACATCACACCATCACCATGTATCCAGAAAGGTCCATTCCATGAGACAATGACATCCCCTCCCGAACCTCACTCCAACCCTCTACATCGCACCATCACCGTGTATCCAGAAATGTCTATTCCATGAGACAATGACATCCCCCTCCCAAACCCCACTCCTACATCACACCATCACCGTGTATCCAGAAATGTCCATTCCATGAGACAATGACATCCCCTCCCAAACCTCACTCCAATCCTCTACATCGCACCATCACCGTGTATCCAGAAAGGTCCATTCCATGAGACAATGACATCCCCTCCTGCTCTTCTCTCCAACCTCCTACATCACACCATCACCGTGTATCCAGAAATGTCCATTCCATGAGACAATGACATCCCCTCCCAAACCTCACTCCAATCCTCTACATCGCACCATCACCGTGTATCCAGAAAGGTCCATTCCATGAGACAATGACATCCCCTCCCAAACCTCAATCCAACCCTCTACATCACACCATCACCGTGTATCCAGAAAGGTCCATTCCATAAGACAATGACATCCCCTCCTGCTCTTCTCTCCAACCTCCTACATCACACCATCACCGTGTATCCAGAAATGTCCATTCCATGAGACAATGACATCCCCTCCCAAACCCCACTCCAACCCTCTACATCACACCATCACCGTGTATCCAGAAAGGTCCATTCCATGAGACAATGACATCCCCTCCCAAACCTCACTCCAACCCTCTACATCACACCATCACCGTGTATCCAGAAAGGTCCATTCCATGAGACAATGACATCCTCTCCTGCTCTTCTCTCCAACCCTCTACATCGCACCATCACCGTGTATCCAGAAAGGTCCATTCCATGAGACAATAACATCCCCTCCCAAACCTCACTCCAACCCTCTACATCGCACCATCCACCGTGTATCCAGAAAGGTCCATTCCATGAGACAATGACATCCCCTCCCAAACCCCACTCCAACCCTCTACATCACATCATCACCGTGTATCCAGAAAGATGCATTCCATGAGACAATGACATCCCCTCCCAAACCCCACTCTAACCCTCTACATCACACCATCACCGTGTATCCAGAAAGATCCATTCCATGAGACAATGACATCCCCTCCCAAACCCCACTCTAACCCTCTACATCACACCATCACCGTGTATCCAGAAAGATCCATTCCATGAGACAATGACATCCCCTCCCAAACCTCACTCCAACCCTCTACATCACACCATCACCGTGTATCCAGAAAGGTCCATTCCATGAGACAATAACATCCCCTCCCAAACCTCACTCCAACCCTCTACATTGCACCATCACCGTGTATCCAGAAAGGTCCATTCCATGAGACAATGACATCCCCTCCCAAACCCCACTCAACCCTCTACATCACACCATCACCGTGTATCCAGATGGTAATGAATGGGTTAAGTTCTGTCTGCACACAAGATGTATGTTGTTCCTTGTAAATAGAGCTGTGTTCCTTCTTCTGCGGATCACGGGATGAACCCATTTCCTGTTCGTGGTAATAACAAGCGACGTGGCAATACGAGGCACATGAACTCCGCTTGCCGCTTCTTCCATCTCTCAGCAGAAAGTATTATATCAGATGTCCCGTGTGATCGTCGGTAGAATCACATGGCCGATATTTCATGGGTGTGACGTCATGCTGCTCCCAGGACTGAGATACTGAGAACAGAGCTGCATGATAACATGACCTGCACTCACCGGCCACTTTATTAGTAAGAAAACCTTCCCCACACCAAGACACCCCCAACCTGAACTGTGGATACAAGGCAGGATGGATCCACCACACCAAGACACCACCACCACCACCAGCCTGAACCATGGATACAAGGCAGGATGGATCCACCACACCATGACACCACCACCAGCCTGAACCATGGATACAAGGCAGGATGGATCCCCCCCCACACCAGACACCCCCAACCTGAACTGTGGATACAAGGCAGGATGGATCCACCACACCATCAGCCTGAACCATGGATACAAGGCAGGATGGATCCACCGCACCATGACACCACCACCAGCCTGAACCATGGATACAAGGCAGGATGGATCCCCCACACCATGACACCCCACCAGCCTGAACCATGGATACAAGGCAGGATGGATCCACCACACCATGACACCACCACCAGCCTGAACCATGATACAAGGCAGGATGGATCCCCACACCATGACACACCCCAGCCTGAACTTGATACAAGGCAGGATGGATCCACCACACCATGACACCACCACCACCACCAGCCTGAACCATTGATACAAGGCAGGATGGATCCACCACACCATGACACACCACCACCCAGCCTGAACCATTGATACAAGGCAGGATGGATCCACCACACACCATGACACCACCACCAGCCTGAACCATTGATACAAGGCAGGATGGATCCACCACACCATGACACCACCACCACCAGCCTGAACCATTGATACAAGGCAGGATGGATCCACCACACCATGACACCCCACCAGCCTGAAACTGTGGATACAAGGCAGGATGGATCCACCACACCATGACACCACCACCACCAGCCTGAACCATGGATACAAGGCAGGATGGATCCACCACACCATGACACCACCATCAGCCTGAACCATGGATACAAGGCAGGATGGATCCACCACACCATGACACCACCACCAGCCTGAACCATGGATACACCCACCATGTCACCACCACCAGCCTGAACCATGGATACAAGGCAGGATGGATCCCTCCACACCATGACACCACCAGCCTGAACCATGGATACAAGGCAGGATGGATCCACCACACCATGACACCACCACCAGCCTGAACCATGGATACAAGGCAGGATGGATCCACCACACCATGACACCACCACCAGCCTGAACCATGGATACAAGGCAGGATGGATCCACCACACCATGTCACCACCCAGCCTGAACCGTTGATACAAGGCAGGATGGATCCCCCACACCATGACACCCACCAGCCTGAACCATGGATGCAAGGCTGCATGGATCCACCACTCCATGACACCACCACCAGCCTGAACCATTGATACAAGGCAGGATGGATCCACCACACCATGACACCACCACCACCAGCCTGAACCATTGATACAAGGCAGGATGGATCCACCACACCCACCACCACCAGCCTGAACCATGGATACAAGGCCAGCCATGAACCAGCCTGTTGATACAAGGCAGGATGGATCCCCCCACACCATGACACCACCAGCCTGAACCATGGATGCAAGGCTGCATGGATCCACCACTCCATGACACCACCACCAGCCTGAACCATTGATACAAGGCAGGATGGATCCATCCACACCACACCACCACCAGCCTGAACCATTGATACAAGGCAGGATGGATCCACCACACCATGACACCACCAGCCTGAACCGCTGATACAAGGCAGGATGGATCCATCACACACCATGACACCACCACCACCAGCCTGAACCGCTGATACAAGGCAGGATGGATCCACCACACCATGACACCACCAGCCAACAGCCTGATACAAGGCAGGATGATCCACCAATCAAGACACCACCACCAGCCTGAACCATGGATACAAGGCAGGATGGATCCACCACACCATGACACCACCAGCCTGAACAGCTGATAGAAGGCAGGATGGATCCATGACACCAAGACACCACCAGCCTGAACCGTGGATACAAGGCAGGATGGATCCATGACACCATGACACCACCAGCCTGAACCGCTGATACAAGGCTGGATGGATCCACCACACCATGGCACCACCACCAGCCTGAACCATGGATACAAGGCAGGATGGATCCATGCATCCATGTTGTTTACGTCAAATTCTGCCCCGACCATCTGAATGTCGCAGCAACCACTCTGCCCGTTCTCCTCTGACATCAACAAGGCATTTTCCTCCACACAACTGCCGCTCACTGGATATTTTCTCCTTTTCGGACCATTCTTCGTGAGCCCTAGAGATGCATGTGTGGGAAAATCCCAGGAGATCAGCAGTTTGTGTATTCCTGGCTTGGCGTTCCTGATTCGAAGGATGCACACAAATAGACTTTTTGATCCGTGAGGGGCACACCGGCTTTCACAAGGACTCATTTATATGTATCCTACCCATATGCAATGTCTAACATTTTTTGGATCAGCCATTGTAGGTCACATGGCCCCAACCCTTACACCCGATCCATCGGGACAGTTTATATAGATGTCAGAGGGATGGATGTTGTCGGGTGAGCTCTCCTTCTATGGGGTGGCCATTGTAGGTCACATGGCCCCAACCCTTACACCTGATCCATCAGGACAGTTTATATACAGTTGTGTTCAATATAATATCCGTGTGTTTGAAAAAAGTGAGTAAAGCTGCAAATCCTTCTAATCCTTTTATTTCCATCCACACAAATGCATTGGGAACACGACACATTCTATTCCAAATCACAACATGAAGAAAAATACATCAAATTTGTGTTGTTCCTCTAAAAAAATGGAAGAAAAGTGAATATTAGACGGTTCAAAAAAAATGGCCGTGTTTGTATTCTTCTTTACAAACTCCAACATTCACTATATAAACTGAGAAACGTTTGAAGATTTTGCTTTCCTTTGAATGACTTCATGAATATTTGGTTGTAGTCGCACTGTTTCTGAGAACTGCTGTACATCTGTGTTGCATGGAGTCCCCCAACTTCTGGCCCCTGTGATCAGGTATTCCAGCCCAGGATGATTGGACCACATTCCACAGTTCTTCTCTATTTCTTGGTTTTGCCTCAGAAACGGCATTTTTGATGTCACCCCACAAGTTTTCTATTGGATGAAGATCCGGGGATTGGGCTGGCCACTCCATAACGTCCATCTTGTTGGTCTGGACCCAAGATGTTGTACGTTTACTGGTGTGTTTGGGGTCGTTGTCTTGTTGGAACACCCATTTCAAGGGCATTTCCTCTTCAGCATAAGGCAGCATGACCTCTTCAAGTATTCTGATGGATTCAAACTGATCCATGATCCCTGGTGTGCGATAAATAGGCCCAACACCGTAGTATGAGAAAACATCCCCATATCATGATGCTTGCACCACCATGCTTCACAGCCTTCACAGTGTACTGTGGCTTGAATTCAGTGTTTGGGGGTCGTCTGACAAACTGTCTCCGCCCACTAGACCCAAAAAGAACAATCTTACTTTCATCAGTCCACAAAATGTTGCCCCATTTCTCTTTAGGCCGGTCAATGTGCTCTTTGGCAGATTGTAATTTCTTCAGCACGTCTTTTTTCCAACAGTGGGACTTTGCGGGGACTTCTTGCAGATAGCTTGGCTTCACATCGGCGTCTTCTAATTGTAACAGTCCTCACAGGGAACGTTACACCTTCTTTCATCTTCCTGGAGCTGATTGTTGGCCGAGTCCTCACAGGGAACGTCACACCTTCTTTCATCTTCCTGGAGCTGATTGTTGGCTGAGTCCGCCCCATTTTGGCTATTCTTCTATCCATTCCAATGGTAGTTTTTTCGCTTTCTTCCACGTCTTTCAGGTTTTGGTTGCCATTTTAAAGCATTTGCCATCATTTTAGCTGAGCAGCCGATCATTTTCTGCACTTCTTTATATGTTTTCCCCTCTCCAATCAACTTTTTAATCAAGGTACGCTGTTCTTCTGAACAATGTCTGGAACGACCCATTTTCCTCAGAATTTCAGAGAGAAATGCACTGTAACCAGCATGTCCAACATTTGCTGCCTTCCTTCCTTAAATAAGGGCAATAATTGCCACCTGTTTATCAAAGAATGAATGACCTCACTAATAGAACTCCACACGGCTATTATTTTGAACACGCCCCTTTCAATGAGTGATTCAATGACACAGAATCAGCAGCATGCATGTCATGACTGTTGGGTCTGTTGGATTTCTATGACTCTACTACACCTGCTAGGAAATTATTTGACATGTAGAAATATCATTTCCACCAAAAACAGTGATTGATCCAGTTAGTGATGTCTGACTGCTAGTATTTTGAACACAACTGTATATGTCAGAGGGATGTACATTGTCTGGTGAGCTCTCCTTCTATGGGGTGACCATTGTAGGTCACATGGCCCCAACCCTTACACCCGATCCATCAGGACAGTTTATATAGATGTCAGAGGGATGGACATGGTGAAGACATCATATTTGTTTGATCTCTCATCGTAGGTCAGACACCACCTCACATGGTCCCAACCCTCATGCACTCCCCCAGGTTCGTTACGTAGAACTCCGAGGATTTGTGGAATTTATATATTTTTGATGGAGATAATTTGTGAGATTAACTCTGAAGTGAATCATAATCAGTCGAATAAGTCTGAATGGATATTTTCTTCTTTTTCTTTTTATAGAAGGAATGACAACTGTCATCTCATTGGAACCCCCCCAGAAATCTCAGCGCCATTCTTCTCCAGAGACGCCCATCAACAGCAAGCAGGAGAGCAGCACAATCAGCAAGTGTTTTATCCAGGTCTCCGGAATGACGTGCGCCTCCTGTGTCGCCAACATTGAGCGGAATCTCCGCAGGGAGGACGGTCGGTTCTCACTATCACTTCCTACCCTACATTGTGATTTCCTGATGTTATCTGATGGCCGTTATGTTGGACCCGATAGTCATTCGTGTAGATTAGAAATATTTGTACTTTCAGTTTGTAGGTTGCAGATGGTTTCCATGGACATCTCTTCAGGGTTCTTCTATTTGCTTTATATGTTGTCCTTTTTGTTAGCTAAATTTTGTAACCATAAGCTCCAATGAGAATGGAGGACAGCTGGGAGGGGATATAGGAAGGGACCAATAAGGATGGAGGACAGCCAGGAGGGGATATAGGAAGGGACCAATAAGGATGGAGGACAGCTGGGAGGGGATATAGGAAGGGACCAATAAGGATGGAGGACAGCCTGGAGGAGATATAGGAAAGAACGAATGAGGATGAAACACAGCCAGGAGGGGATATAGGAAAGGGACCAATAAGGATGGAGGACAGCCTAAAGGTGATATAGGAAAGGGAGGAATGAGAATGGAGGACAGCCAGGAGGGGGTATGGGAAGAGATGAATGAGGATGGAGGACAGCCAGGAGGGGGTATGGGAAGAGATGAATGAGAATGGAGGACAGCCAGGAGGGGGTATAGGAAAGGGAAGAATGAGGATGGAGGACAGCCAGGAGGGGGTATGGGAAGAGATGAATGAGGATGGAGGACAGCCAGGAGGGGGTATAGGAAAGGGAAGAATGAGGATGGAGGACAGCCAGGAGGGGGTATAGGAAGGGATGAATGAGAATGGAGGACAGCCAGGAGGGGGTGTAGGAAAGGGATGAATGAGGATGGAGGACAGCCAGGAGGGGGTATAGGAAAGGGAAGAATGAGGATGGAGGACAGCCAGGAGGGGGTATAGGAAAGGGAAGAATGAGGATGGAGGACAGCCAGGAGGGGGTATAGGAAGGGATGAATGAGGATGGAGGACAGCCAGGAGGGGGTATAGGAAGGGATGAATGAGGATGGAGGACAGCCAGGAGGGGGCATAGGAAAGGGAGGAATGAGGATGGAGGACAGCCAGGAGGGGGTATGGGAAGAGATGAATGAGGATGGAGGACAGCCAGGAGGGGGTATAGGAAAGGGAGGAATGAGGATGGAGGACAGCCAGGAGGGGGTATAGGAAAGGGAAGAATGAGGATTGAGGACATCTGGGAGGTGATATAGGAAAGGACCAATGAAGATGGAGGACAGCCGGGAAGTCCTCCACAGTTGTTGGATCCTGTATTAACTAACTCTCCCTTTGCAGATCCCCTTCTTTTTTTTAAATTCAATAAAAAAAAATTCTATAGTTAAAAATTAAATTCAGCATAGATGTGTTGTGTTTCTAGGCTATGACAGTTATCAGATGAAACGTAAGGGGGAGCCGAGTATAGGACAGATATTGGGGTCTCTGAGTTCTTTCAGTGTCAGTTATCTATTCTGTTCAGCAAATATCCGATACATGGAAGGGAAGCCGGGTGTAGGACAGATATCGGGGTCTCTATGAATACTGTGATATCTGCTGAACAGAATAGATCCCTGATACAGATACATGGAAGGGAAGCCGGGTGTAGGACAGATTTCGGGGTCTCTATGAATACTGTGATATCTGCTGAACAGAATAGATCCCTGATACAGATACATGGAAGGGAAGCCGGGTGTAGGACAGATTTCGGGGTCTCTATGAATACTGTATATCAGTTATCGCTTCTGTTCAGCAGATTCAGGATGTTCTCTTGCTCTCTTTCAGGAATACACTCGGTCCTGGTGGCTCTGATGGCAGGAAAGGCGGAGGTGAGGTATAACCCGGTGCTCATACAACCCTCGGCCATTGCTGAGCACATTCAGGAGCTGGGATTTGAAGCCTTGGTGTTAGAGAACTGTGATGAAGGGGACGGCGTATTGGAACTGGTGGTAAGATGATGACTCTACTGACCTGTATACTGTGCACAGTACCTGACATCCAATACGTATGTGAGAACCAGACCCCAATCACCAGAATCTCATAGAAGCTATTAAATGTTAACTCATTTACAAGTCATTTTCACTATTTCTGCAATCTTCATAAAAATAACCCCTGGTGATCCTGCCATAGAGGTCCTTGTCTGGGCACTTCCTGTTATAGGGTGACACCGCTCTGTCCCTGTGTCCTAGGGTGACACCGCTCCGTCCCTGTGTCCTAGGGTGACACCGCTCCGTCCCTGTGTCCTAGGGTGACACCGCTCCGTCCCTGTGTCCTAGGGTGACACCGCTCCGTCCCTGTGTCCTAGGGTGACACCGCTCCGTCCCTGTGTCCTAGGGTGACACCGCTCCGTCCCTGTGTCCTAGGGTGACATCGCTCCGTCCCTGTGTCCTAGGGTGACACTGCTCCGTCTTTGTGTCCCCATTGCACTCCTGCCCTGTCACACGGCCTTCTGATGGAGACTACAAGCAGATGCTCCTACACACATTACACAGACATGGTCCACTGTTGTCACCATCAGGAAACCCGCCCTGACAAATGCCGTGTGGAAGAATTCTGTGCGAACGATTCCAGAGAGATTTAGAGGGAATGGCTCCTGGAAGAGTCTTCTGTTAGGAATAGAGATAAATATTACATCTACACTCGGGTGACTTTACATTTGGAGGGAAGACCTTCCTGGATGAGGGTGACTTCTGACTCCCATAAATTCTAATGGAAGGAACAGCCAAAACAAACAGGTGAGGAGGAGGAGGAAGTAGGAGAAGGAAGTTCCTCTGGGTGTGCCGGGAGAAGGAGTGCTGAGGACAAAGAGTCCTGCCAGAGCAACGCCTGACCTTTGTAGGGTCACCCACAGATACGGGGGGTGTGTGTGTATATATATATATGTGTGTGTGTGTGTATATATATATATATGTGTGTGTGTGTGTGTGTATATATATATATATATATGTGTGTGTGTGTATATATATATATGTGTGTGTGTGTGTATATATATATGTGTGTGTGTGTGTGTGTGTGTATATATATGTGTGTGTGTGTGTGTGTGTATATATATATGTGTGTGTGTGTGTGTGTATATATATATGTGTGTGTGTGTGTGTGTATATATATGTGTGTGTGTGTGTGTGTGTGTATATATATATATGTGTGTGTGTGTGTGTGTATATATATATGTATGTGTGTGTGTGTGTATATATATATATGTGTGTGTGTGTGTGTGTGTATATATATATGTGTGTGTGTGTGTGTGTATATATATATGTGTGTGTGTGTGTGTATATATATATATGTGTGTGTGTGTGTGTATATATACAGTCATGGCCGAAATTGTTGGCACCCTTGATATTTCTCCAGGAAATCATGTATTTCTCACGAAACGTATTGCATTAACACATGTTTTGCTATACACATGTTTATTCCCTTTGTGTGTATTGGGACAAAACAAAAAAAGGGAGGAAAGAAAGCAAATTCGACATAATGTCACACAAACCTCCAAAAATGGGCTGGACAAAAGTATTGGCACCCTTTCACAACTGCGGATAAATAAGAATGTTACAAGCATGTGATGCTCCTGTAAACTCACCTGGGGCAAGTAACAGGTGTGGGCAATATAGAAATCACACCTGAAAGCAGATAAAAAGGAGAGACGTTCACTTAACCTTTGCATTGTGTGTCTGTCTGTGCCACACTAAGCATGGACAACAGAAAGAGGAGACGAGAACTGTCTGAGGACCTGAGAACCAAAATTGTGGCAAAATATCAACAATCTCAAGGTTACAAGTCCATCTCCAGAGAACTAGATTTGCCTTTGTCCACAGTGCGCAACATTATCAAGAAGTTTGCAACCCATGGCACTGTAGCTAATCTCCCTGGTCGTGGACGGATGAGGAAAATTGATGAAAGATTGCAACGCAGAATAGTCCGGATGGTGGATAAGCAGCCCCAAACATGTTCCAAAGACATTCAAGCTGTCCTGCAGCTCAGGGAGCATCAGTGTCAGCGCGAACTATCCGTCGACATTTAAATGAAATGAAACGCTATGGCAGGAGACCCAGGAGGACCCCACTGCTGACACAGAGACATAAAAAAGCAAGACTACAGTTTGCCAAAATGTACTTGAGTAAGCCAAAAGCCTTCTGGGAAAACGTCTTGTGGACAGATGAGACCAAGATAGAGCTTTTCGGTAAAGCACATCATTCTACTGTTTACCGAAAACGGAATGAGGCCTACAAAGAACAAAACACAGTACCTACGGTAAAATATGGTGGAGGTTCAATGATGTTTTGGGGTTGTTTTGCTGCCTCTGGCACTGGGTGCCTTGACTGTGTGCAAGGCATCATGAAATCTGAGGATTACCAAAGGATTTTGGGTCGCACTGTAGGGCCCAGTGTCAGAAAGCTGGGTTTGCGTCCAAGATCCTGGGTCTTCCAGCAGGACAATGACCCCAAACATACGTCAAAAAGCACTCAGAAATGGATGGCAAAGAAGCGCTGGAGAGTTCTGAAGTGGCCAGCAATGAGCCCAGATCTAAATCCCATTGAACACCTGTGGAGAGATCTTAAAATTGCTGTTGGGAAAAGGTGTCCTTCCAATAAGAGAGACCTGGAGCTGTTTGCAAAGGAAGAGTGGTCCAAAATTCCGGGTGAGAGGTGTCAGAAGCTTATTGATGGTTATAGGAAGCGACTGATTTCAGTTATGTTTTCCAAAGGGTGTGCAACCAAATATTAAGTTAAGGGTGCCAATACTTTTGTCCAGCCCATTTTTGGGGTTTTGTGTGACATTATGTCATATTTGCTTTTTCTGCCTCTGTTTTATATTTGTTCCAATACATACAAAGGGAATAAACATGTGTATAGCAAAACATGTGTTAATGCAATACCTTTTTTGTGTGAAATACTTGATTTTCAGGAAAAATATCAAGGGTGCCAACAATTTCGGCCATGACTGTATATATGTGTGTGTGTGTGTGTGTGTGTGTATATATATATATGTGTGTGTGTGTGTATATAATGTGTGTATATAGTGTGTGTATATAGTGTGTATATAATGTGTGTACACCCTGAACCGTACATGTGAGGGTTAATGGGTCACACCCGCCGTGTTCCAGTCTGATTAGTCTAAATAAAGATGTTCTGATTATTGGCAGTTCCGGGAATTTGTGTACATTTGTGCCAATAAGGAGATCCATCAGCAGACTGTCCTTTCTTTTGGGTTTATTACTGCTGACTGTCCCCGGAGATAGAAGAATCCAGTGGGGCCCCTGTCTTGCCTGCACCCACCATAACTGAAATATATGTTTTTAGTGGTCTGACCCAATACAGTGCTCAGTGCATCAGAAATAATTATTTCCCTCCATTGTTCCATCTCAGAGCTGCTGATCTCCTGCAGCCTCTTTGCAGCCACTTCCTGTCTCCATACACCCCAGTGATGGCTGCATGGCATTTCTCAGGGCGGGGTTCCTAATGGTGACACCACTGGCCATGTCTGTGTCATGTCCTGAGAAGTCCACTTGTAGTCTCTATCGGAATCCCGTGTGACATGGAAACAACTCAGGAGGACAATTGGAGACAAAGACAGAACGTTGTCACCTTATAACAGGAAAAGACTGAACAAAGACCTCTATTCTACAGAGGAGGCGTTGGCCTATGCGGTTCCGGCTCTCTGCTACAGAGGAGGCGTTGGCCTATGCGGTTCCGGCTCTCTGCTACAGAGGAGGCGTTGGCCTATGCGGTTCCGGCTCTCTGCTACAGAGGAGGCGTTGGCCTATGCGGTTCCGGCTCTCTGCTACAGAGGAGGCGTTGGCCTATGCAGTTCCGGCTCTCTACTACAGAGGAGGCGTTGGCCTATGCGGCTCCGGCTCCTCTACTACAGAGGAGGCGTTGGCCTATGCAGCTCCGGCTCTATTCTACAGAGGAGGCATCGGCCTATGCGGCTCCAGCTCCTCTACTACAGAGGAGGCATCGGCCTATGCGTATCCGGCTCTCTACTACAGCTCCAACTTTACAAGTAGTTCCTCTGCACTGCACTCTGTCTGATGCTGTGGGATGGCGGCTCAGCAAGCCCAGATTGTGATCTACCGGTCACCTGACTGTGATCTACTGGTTGTGAGGTTATAAAGTCTCCTCCCAGTAGGAAGTACCAGGTTATAAAGTCTCCTCCCAGTAGGAAGTACCAGGTTATAAAGTCTCCTCCCAGCAGGAAGTACCAGGTTATAAAGTCTCCTCCCAGTAGGAAGTACGAGGTTATAATATCTCCTCCCAGCAGGAAGTTCGAGGTTATAAAGTTTTCTCCCAGCAGGAAGTACCAGGTTATAAAGTCTCCTCCCAGCAGGAAGTACCAGGTTATAAAGTCTCCTCCCAGTAGGAAGTACTAGGTTATAAAGTCTCCTCCCAGTAGGAAGTACGAGGTTATAATGTCTCCTCCCAGCAGGAAGTTCGAGGTTATAAAGTCTCCCAGCAGGAAGTACGAGGTTATAAAGTCTCCTCCCAGTAGGAAGTACGAGGTTATAAAGTCTCCTCCCAGCAGGAAGTACGAGGTTATAAAGTCTCCTCCCAGCAGGAAGTACGAGGTTATAAAGTCTCCTCCCAGCAGGAAGTACGAGGTTATAAAGTCTCCTCCCAGCAGGAAGTACGAGGTTATAAAGTCTCCTCCCAGCAGGAAGTACGAGGTTATAAAGTCTCCTCCCAGCAGGAAGTACGAGGTTATAAAGTCTCCTCCCAGCAGGAAGTACGAGGTTATAAAGTCTCCTCCCAGCAGGAAGTACGAGGTATAAAATCTCCTCCCAGCAGGAAGTACGAGGTATAAAGTCTCCTCCCAGCAGGAAGTACGAGGTATAAAGTCTCCTACCAGCAGGATGTACCAGGTTATAAAGTCTCCTCCCAGCAGGAAGTACCAGGTTATAAAGTCTCCTCCCAGCAGGAAGTACCAGGTTATAAAGTCTCCTCCCAGCAGGAAGTACCAGGTTATAAAGTCTCCTCCCAGCAGGAAGTACCAGGTTATAAAGTCTCCTCCCAGCAGGAAGTACCAGGTTATAAAGTCTCCTCCCAGCAGGAAGTACCAGGTTATAAAGTCTCCTCCCAGCAGGAAGTACCAGGTTATAAAGTCTCCTCCCAGCAGGAAGTACCAGGTTATAAAGTCTCCTCCCAGCAGGAAGTTCGAGGTTATAAAGTCTCCTCCCAGCGAAAAAGACGAGGTTATAAAGTCTCCTCCCAGTGGGAGGGGCAGGTCCATCCTGCCCCACATATGGAGGAGGGATGTGAATTGTAGTAAGGACAATAATTAAAGGCAATTAATAATAAACATGTTCTACTTCCCGGCTCTGTCATGGTTTTGCACAGAGCAGCCCGGATCCTCCTCTTCTTGGGTCCCCCCGCCGGCTCTCCTGGCCCCTCCCTCCTTCCAAGTGCCCCAGAAGCAAGCAGCTTGCATTGGGAGCACCCAAGCAGACTCGCTCCCGAGTCGCTGCTTTATATGACCCAGCCCTCTCTCTCTTCTCATTGGCTCTCTGGCTGTGATTGGCAGTAGCTAGAGCCAATAGCTCCTGCTGCTGTGTCAGGCAATGAGGAGGGAGAGACCCCAGGGAGCCGAGGCTCTCATGCACATCGCTGGATCGGGGCGGGGTTCAGGTAAGTATGGGGGGTTCACCTTCATGCATGGGATACACCTTCCATGTTATTGATGAATTAGGATGAAGGGACAGTTTGTACATTGCAGACAGTACAGTCAGCAGCCGTATGAACGGGTATGGACTCCTCTGCCATTGCAGGACAGATGTTTGGAGCACAATTTCCTGCCTTTCCATTGGATGGATAGATGATGTGCTGGTCCATGTTGGTGTTCCTGGTTCTCCCTCACCCATATTTCTCTGCTTTGTGTTGTCAGGTCCGCGGGATGACGTGTGCCTCCTGCGTCCATAAGATCGAATCCTGTCTGATGAAGACCAAGGGGGTTCTGTACAGCTCCGTTGCACTTGCAACCAATAAAGCCCACATTAAATATGATCCGGAGACGATCGGGCCCCGGGATCTCATGACCATTATTAATGTGAGTGTCACGTGATCTGCGGATTCCCCGAACTGCCGGGACTCTGGCAGCCATTAAAGTGAACCTTTCCTCAGCCCTCTACTGATTTGCTGCATTGCGGTGATCCCGGGTGTGTAGTTGTACCGCTTCTCTCCTGCCCCCCCCCATCTGTAACCACATCCTAACCATTGTACTTCTGGGTATGGGAGATCACATGACACTCTTCCTTTGGGAACAGAAAAAGTGCTAGCACCCAACCAACGCTCATCCCAGGAGCTCGGCGGGGGCCTGATCCACAGTTGCTTCTCTGTTCCAGAAGTACATGAAATCAATCCGCACTACCTCCCTGTAGATCTGTACTTGGTGAGCGGGTAGCCAGTCACCAGGCCAGAGCGCTGTCATGGGGCGGGGCTGGTTTCAGGAGCGTTGAGGAATAAGTGGTCAGAGATGGAGAAGTCTGTTGGATTGTCTTCATCTATTAAAGGATACGTTCACCTTTGGGAACATGTCACAACTTCCACCCATAGAACATGTAACATGCTCCCAGTGCTGCAGCCGCTGCCTCACGGCTCAGGTATGGAAGGCAACCAAATCCCCATGCGTGTCCTACAAATGCCCATGCGTGTCCTACAAATGCCCATGCCTGTCCTACAAATGCCCATGCCTGTCCTACAAATGCCCATGCCTGTCCTACAAATGCCCATGCCTGTCCTACAAATGCCCATGCCTGTCCTACAAATGCCCATGCGTGTCCTACAAATGCCCATGCCTGTCCTACAAATGCCCATGCGTGCCCTACAAATGCCCATGCGTGCCCTACAAATGCCCAAGCGTGCCCTACAAATGCCCATGCGTGCCCTACAAATGCCCATGCGTGCCCTACAAATGCCCATGCGTGCCCTACAAATCCCCATGCGTGTCCTACAAATCCCCATGCGTGTCCTACAAATCCCCATGCGTGCCCTACAAATGCCCATGTGTGTCCTTCAAATGCCCATGTGTGTTGTCCTGATGGAGGAAAGGGAATGGAGTAACGGAGTCAGGACGATGGTGCACTGCAGGTTCCCATAGCCAGTCACTGAGTCTGAGCGCCCTCACATCATCAGGGGCTGGTGTAGAAGGTAAGTACTACTACTGTAGGATGCCTTCTGTGCAGCCAACCAGATTCCTCGTCTTCTATGTCACCTTATTCCGTGATGAGAGATCACACAGAACCATGACCTGCGTGCCGGG